ACTTACACACTCAACCTCCCCTAATATAAACATCCCCCAGCACAGTGGTACATTTATTACAGTCAGTGAGCCCAGCTTGACACAGCATCACCCAAAGCTTACATGAAGGGTCACTCCTGATGTTGTACATTCTAGGGCTTTTGACAAGTGTACGATGGCATGCACCCATCAAGAGCATCAAGCAGAGCACCATACCTGCCCTAAAACTCCTCTGCACTCCGCCTGCTGATCCCTCCCCTCCTGTGCCTGGCAACCACTGATCTTTTCCTGGTCTCCACAGTTGAGCCTGTTCCAGTGTATCCCCCAGCTGGAATCATACAGCATGTAGCCTTCTCACACTGGCTTCTTTCACTTAGCGATATGCGTTCATGTTTCCTCCGTTTCCTTTCATGACCTGATGGCTCGTTTATTTTGAGCCTGAATAATACTCCATTGTCTGGACGGGCCACCTACTGAAGCCCATCTTGGCTGCTTCCACATTTGGACAATTATGAATAAAGCTGCCATCAACATTCATGTTCGGGTTTCTGTGTGAACATGTTTTTGATTTATGTGGTAAATACCAGGGAGCATGACTGCTGGATCATTTGGTAAGAGCATGTTTAATTTTGTAAGAAACCACCAAACTGTCTTCCAAAGTGGCTGTACCATTTTGCATTTCCACCCGCAACAGATGGGAGTTCCTGTGGCTCCACGCCCTCCCCAGCAGCTGGTGGTGTCAGTGTTTGGGATTCTGGCCATGCTAGCAGGTGTGTGGTGGCACCTCCCTGTTTTGATTTGCAGTTCCCTAATGGCATGTGATGCAGAACATCTCTTCAGATGGTTAGCTGCCATCTGTGTACTTTTTGGTGAGGTATTTGTTATCGTCTTTTACTCATTTTCACTTGGGTTTTTTATTTTGATGAGTTTTAAGAGTTCAAAAAAAGTTTTTAGATTATAGTATTGTTATTAGAGATGAGGTCTGGCTTGGTTGCCCAGGCTGGTCTCAAACTTACGGCCTCCAAGGATCCTCCTCCGTCTCAGCCCCCTGAGTTGTTGGGAGCCATGCCTGGCTTCAAGGATTCTTTTTATATTTTGGATAAAGTCCTTTGTCAGATATCTTTTGTCTGTGGCCTGTCATGTCACTCTCCTGACAGTGTCATTCACAGAGCATTAAGTTTTAAATTTGCATAAAGTCTAGCTTGTCAATTCATTCTTTCATAGATCATGGCTTTGGTATTACATCTAAAAAACCATCACCAAGGGAATGTAAATTAGACACAAATTAACCACTAGGGAGAACAGTTTGGAGGTTCCTCAAAAAACTAAAAAAGAGAGCTACCACATTATCCAACAGTCCCACTGCTGGTATACACCCCAAAAAAGGAAGTCAGCATAGCAAAGAGTTACCTGCACCTGTGTTTGCTGCAGCAGTGTTCACAGCAGCACAATCTGGAAGCAACCCCAGGGTCCATCAACAGACCAAAGGACAAAGAAAGCATACAAACATACACACGATGGAGGACCACATGGCCATCTGAGAATGTCATCTGCAACAATACAGACTGACCTGGAGGTCATTAAGTAAAATAAACCAAATGCAGAAAGACAAACTTAACATATTCTCACTTATTTGTGGAGGCTAAAAATTAAAACAGTCGAACTCATGGAGATAGAGAGCAGAAGGATGGTCACCAGAGGCTGGGAAGGGTAAGTGGGATCTTGGGGAGGAGGCAGGAATGGCTAATGGGCACAAAAATAAAATTATAAAGAAGGAATATGCCCTTTGATTTGACAGTACAACAGGGTGACTATAGTCAGTAATTTAATTGTACATTAAAAATAACTAAGAGTATAATTGGATTATTTTTGAGAAAGGATAAATGCTTGAGGGGATGGAGACCCCATTTACCCCATGTGATTATTACGCACTGCATGCCTGTCATCAAAATAGCTCACATGCTCCATAAACACCTATTATGTACCCACAAATATTAATAAATGAGTGGAAAAAAATTATTAGCCATCATCTTACCAAAGTTAACCTGCATTTTCTCCAATGATATATTCCAGTTTGCATTTTATCAAGGGCCACTCCTTTTAGTAAATTTTTCTTTTTTTGAGACAGAGTCTCACCGTTGCCAGGCTGGAGTGCAGTGGCGTGATCTTGGCTCACTGCAACCTCTGCCTCCCAAGTTCAAGTGATTCTCCTGCCTCAGCCTCCTGAGTAGCTGAGATCACAAACACTCACCACTACACCCAGCTAATTTTGTATTTTTAGTAGAGACATGGTTTCACCATGTTGGCCAGACTGGTCTTGAACTCCTGACCTCAGGTGATCCTCCTGCCTTGGCCTCCCAAAGTGGTGGGATTACAGGTGTGAGCCACTGCACCCAGCTCCTTTTAATTTCTGTTTAGGGTGTGGGGCTTGTGTTGGATTTCTTTTGCACATGTGGATGTCTAGCTGTCCCAGCACCATCGTTGAAGTCTTTTCTGCATTGTGCTACCTTTGAATCTTCTTAAAAGATGAGTCGACTATTTATATGGGTCTATTTCTGGGTCCTCTAATCTACTCTATTAATTTGTCTCTCCTTTTACCAATAGCACGCTGGTTTGGTAACTGCAGCTTTCCAGTGAGTCTTCTGGTCAGGTAGTATCAGTCCTGCAGCTCTGCTCCTCTCCTTTCGTATTGAATTGACTATTCTGGGTCTTTTGTCTCTCCATATAAACTTTAGGATCATTTGTTAATATTCACAAAATAACTTGCAGGGATTTTGATTGAAATTGCATTGAATCTATAGATCAAGGTGGAAGAACATGTTGAAAATATTGACTCTTCCTATCCATGAACATGGAATTTTTCTCCATTTATTTGGTTCTTTTGTTCCTTTCATCAGAGTTTTGTAGTTTTTCTCATATATATATATATAGAGAGAGAGAGACAGAGAGAGTACACATTTTTTAGACTTATGTCTAAGTATTATAAAAGTATTTTGTTTTTAATTTCAAATGCACTCATCCCTTGTTGGTATATAGGAAAGTGACTGACTTTTGTATATTTTGAAATCTTGAACAGTTGTTTATTATTCTAGGGGCATTTCTTTGATCCCCTTTTTATACTTTCTACCTGGAAAACGTCATTTGTGAACCAAGACAGTTTGTTTCTTCTTTCAGTATCATTAAACTTTAACTTCCTTTTCTTACCCTGTTCCAACCGCTGGAGCTTCAAGTGCGGAAAGGAGGTGGTGAAGGCGGACGTGCGGGCCTCGGCCGTGATCTTAGCGGGAAAGTTTCTACATTCTCCCTACTGTACAGCATGTTAGCGGTGGTGAGAGCAGACGTGCGGGCCTCGGCCGTAATCTTAGTGGGAAAGTTTCTACATTCTCCCTACTGTACAGCATGTTAGCGGTGGTGAGAGCGGACGTGCGGGCCTCGGCCGTGATCTTAGTGGGAAAGTTTCTACATTCTCCCTACTGTACAGCATGTTAGCTTTGAGGTCCAGTGGACAAGGAGCGGTCAAGTGACACAAAAAGCCTCACCTGATACTGCAAGAACTTGCTGACAGTGAGAGGTTAGAAAACATGGAAGACCATGCTATGGGGTCCTGAGAGAGTAAGGGGTCAGGAACATGGAAGACCCCACCCATACTGTGAGCTCCTGAGGACAGCGAGGGGTCTGGGACACGCGAGACCCCACCCACACTGTGAGGTCCTGAGAACAGGACGCAGCCTCCTCCAGGCTTGATGGGGGTCCATGCAGGGGTTGCAGGCATGGTAAGCCCTTGCTGTTGGCTCCCAGCACTGAGAGGAGGGAGGGGCCCTGGTGTCCACGTGCCTTGTGGCGGGCTTGGGGGCCAACGCTGGCCTCCTTGGGGTGCCCAGACAGGCTGAAAGCACTCACTCACCGTGGTCTTAGTGTAAGGACCCCAGGGGAGAGGGTGCAAGGTCCCTTCTGCAGGCTGCTAAATATAAATCAATAGGAAAAGGAGAGTAGAAAACAATTTCCAAATCAAGCACAAAAGAGCATCAGAGCTCCTGGGACCGTGGCTTTCTAGAGAGGCTGCTTCCCAGTTTTCCTGCCAGGCACCTGCACAGGCTCTGGCGTCCACCGTGGCCCCTAGTCCTGCTGGAGCCCGGGAGCAGGACCTCCTGTGGAACTGGGGTCTGGGCAGACACCCTCAGTGAGTGACATCAAGACCAGGCCATCCTGGACTAGCGTGGGCCCTGGGCCTGTGGCAGGCACCCTCTAAGAGAAAGGGGAGGGGCATCTGAGATGCACAGATGGGGAGCGGCCACGAGAGGATGGAGCAGAGACTGGAGTGTGTGGTCATGTGCCTAAGGCACCTGAGCCACCAGGAGCTGGAGTGTCCGCCCCAGAGCCCTTGGAGGGAGCACACCTCGATGTGGGGCTTCTGGCTACAGAGCTTCGAGGCCCCCACATGCGAGGCTCACTGAGCAGCCCCGGAAAGGCAGCAGCACCACTGGGCACTGGGTACACCAGCGTGGACGCCCTGCTGGCTGGGGCCGTGGTGCGGTCTTGGGCCTCGCCTCCCATGTGCCTGCACCCTTCCTTGGAGCCCTGCATGGGGCATCTGGAAGCAGCATGGCAAAAGGGCACTGCCCGCAATGTGACGTGCAGTCTCGCCAGAGGCCATGCCCACCTCCCCCTGGACCCCCGAGGGAATGGCCGCTGACCAGACACAAGGCACCAGATGGAAACACCAACGCCCACCTTCAAAAACCACTCCAAAGCCAGCATTTCGCTTTATTTCTGGATAGAAATGGGGCCGAAAGGTGCAGTCATGCTATTTTCACTTCTGGCTAAAACCGAGATGATAAAAGAACAGTTGGGTGTTACAGGATGCCCTCAGGTGAGCTGGCTCTAACTTCACTCACAAAGTCATAGTACAGCTAGGAAGGCCAGTCTGTCCACGGAAGGGAGCTAAGGTGAAAAGGGCGGTGCGCTGGCCTCTTCCAGGCCTGTGCCCGGTGTCCCTGGGGCCCTGCCATGTCCACTCTCCTGCACCATCTGCAGAACCGTGCAACCGGGTCCTGCCCGCCAACAGGGAGAAGCGCGTGGGGGACAGGCATGGCGCACACCTGGGGAGGCCCCTGGTGCAGAGGCGGCCCCATGGCAGCAGCCCCATCCAGAGGAAGGCCACAGGCCTCTGCAGCCCTGGCACCACCTCCCAGCCCGTCATCTCAGGGGGACATCTGCCCCTAGGTCAGCCTCTTCATCCGCCTGTTGTGCTTGTCGATGGTTAAGGTTGCCCTGTCCACAGCTGCTGCGACACCATCCAGGGCTTCATCCTGTCTCTCCAGCTCGCTCTCGGCCTCCAGGGCCAGCCCCTTCATCCTCCTCAGGATCTGGGGAGAAGCACAAGGTCACAGCAGAGGCCACTTCTCCTCAAACCCCGGCACAGACATATCCCCGTCTCCTCCCCAAGAAGCTTTGGGTGATCACCTGGGTGAGGTCATCCGTGAGCCAGTGAGAGAGAGCCCACAGCCCAGCACCAGGTCAGGGCACAGCTCTGCTCCTGCCAGCACAGGCCTGGTGAGATGAGGTGCGCGCCCCACCTCCTGCCAGCTGCCTGCCCCCACCTCCCTCCTGGTGCTGCGGCCACACCCTGGCCTGCTGCCCCCAGGCTGCAGACTGCTCTGTTTGGCTGACCATGTGGGAGTGTTGCAGGTGGGTGTGGAATTCCAGCCCATAGCAGGGCAGCCGGGGACCCAGGCAGGCAGCGCAGATCTGAACTCCAGCTCTTGCCTGGCCACTGTGCTCATGACCTATCTGCATGCGGGTCCCTAACTGCAGACTGAAGTGGGAAAGCAGGATTAAAAAGAAACACAAACCCCTTCTCTTGTCTCTAGGTGTGGGATGTTTCGTGCACAATGCACATGACAGAACAAAACTCTCCACACGGTGGAGGGTGGCCAGCACTGTGGGGGTGTGGGAGACGGACCCCGGCCCAGCAGGTGCAGAAGCTGGAGTCACCCAGGGCCAGGCAGGTGTGGATGGGGAAAGCTGGACTGCCCCAGGAATGCCAGCACAGAGCTACGTCCACTGGCTGCAGCGAGGGCGACAGGCTGAGGACTGAGCTGGTGCTGTGCCGTGGCCTGGCCGGCTGTGTTCTGTGAGGAATCTAGGAAGGCGAACCACACTGTGAAGCACTGCTCTACGCACTCAGCCTAGGTCTAGAAACCTCATACGCCCACTTGACCATGGACAAGAATACACTGGAAAGGAAACGTGAGTGACCCACCACTTGCAATAAATGTCCATGTCCTCTTTTAGGGAAAGTTCTGGATCACTGCTTAGGTCAGGAGAAGGAACCCTCAGTGCACTGTGTCCCCATGAGTTGGACGGGAGTGACCACCCAGGGTCTGGGGGGGTGGTGATCTTGAGGGGGCCCCTACGGTTCCTCTGGATGTCTCTAGGAACAGTGCACCTGAGCCCTGGGGGAGCCGCCTCCCCACGCTCCACCCAGTGACATGGCAGGAGGCTCAGTGTCCTGCGGGCTGGGGTGGCCGGCGTTGGGACACATGCAGCTCAGGATTCAGGGTCACAAGCAATGCCCCGCCCACAGTCCGGCCTTTGTCTGACCCATGAGAAACAGTATGGAGGCGGCCAGCACAGAGGCCCAGCCGGTCAGATCCAGCTCCCTCCACAGAACGGTGCGGCTCACATGAGATCACAAATGCAAACAAGCTGTGAAAACCAGAAAGGGCCCAGCCAGGGTAGCTGCTGCGCTACAGAAGGAGCCTTTCCCCGGCCGGGTACCCAGCCCCTCTGCAGACGCCACAGGGAGTGAGGGGCTGAGGTCACTCACGGGCACATGGCAGAGGTGAAATGAGCCACATGTCCCTTTCCCAGTGCAGCCTTCCTGCTGAGATCTTTGTCATGAGACAGATGGAGAAGTGCCTGACTGGAGCCGCAGTCGCAGACAGCAGGCCTTCTGCACCCTCGGGAGCTGGCGGAAACTCATCTGTTGAGTCATGACTGAGATTGCTGGATGGGGCTCTGGAAAGTATACGGTGGGGTCAGTGGCTCCAAGAGGACGGGCAGATGACCTCACACGGGAGGTCTTTTCCACCGCCTGGCCCATGATCTCACATGGCCCACACCCAAGCTGTGCTGTGAGAGGGAAGAAAGCTCAGCCCACCCCTTGCCGGCTCTGCTGACCCGCTCCCGTCCCACCTGCCCCTGCTCTCAGCATGATCCTGAGGCACTGCTGGAAGCGGCAGGCGTGGCCCCTGGAAGGGAGGGCCGGGCTGCGCGCTCACGCTGTCCCAGCGCCCACGTCCCGGGAGGCGGCCTCCCGGAAGCCCGGGATATGGGTCCGCTCAGGCTCTGCTCTCAGTGCCTATGTCCCTCATCAACCATACTAAAATGTGACTTCAGCGTGTTTAGAATTTAAATGTCCTTCAGGGCCAGAGGGCTCCTGTGAGCTGACACTTGGGGAGATGGCCCAAGCCCTTGCCAGGACCCACAGCTCCAATGCCTCCCACCAGACCCCGTGTCAGCCCGGCCCTCTCCACGACCATGGCGTGGACTGCTATCAGGAGACACCACTATTTGTCTTTTCTGTTAACAACTGTGCATGCAGAAAACCAGGAAACAAGAGAGAAGGAAGAAAACAAAATCTGTCCATAATCCGGACCACTATTAATTAGGCTGGTACCATGAGCGACACAAGCACACCCCCCTCTGGCTCTCTCGCCGTTGCTATGGCCATACACTCTTGCAAGTAACTCACATTTGGGATTAAAGTACACACACAAGTTTGTTTTCTGTTTTTACCATCTCGTCGCTTTCCTGAATGAAAGCTGAGTTACTGGCCATGCAATGTCACCTGACACTGTTCTAGGAACGTGGCACATTTTACCTCTAACTCTGTTTCACAGTCAGGGCGGCCTGCCCCAGTCCTGAGAATACACTCACTGCATATAGAGAGATGCTGCGGGGCATGACCCAGGCCACATCCCACATCACTGCCAGAAGTCCCACAGACCTTAAAGGTGGTGGCAGGGCCCTGGGACATCCAAGGGAGGCTGGGCCAGAACCTGCTCTGACTCTCACTCTGGAGTGTCTTCAGCAGGATGACACTAAGGGCAGCTGAATAAGCCGTGTTAATCTGCTAACTCCAACCCAGATGTTCAAAGGCAAAAATGATACGGAAAATAAAATACTGTACTGAAGCCAACAGACACAGAGCACCATTTGGCATGCATCAGTGCCAATAATTATTAAACATACATCATACTCTTCTTTTATACACAGTCCTAGCAAGCCGCCATGAAGGTTATACCCACAGCAAGGCCCAGCAGAGACGAGCAACAACTCAGGGATCAGGAGCCACACGGAGACCAGGACCACAGTGCGACATGAAGCCTGTCCACCTAGGGCCACCTCCGACAGACCGCACCAGCCCCGCACTGCTGTCACTACCTTCCCCACACGGCGCCTGTCCCCCAGGGCCACCTCCACACACACCCCAACAGCCCGGCACTGCTGGCCACCACCTTCCCTGCAAGGCTGAGTGGCACATGCCCAAGATGCTGGCTGTGCTAGTGACCCTGGTGTGATGTGATCACTCACTACGTAACCCGTGAGTACGTACAATTATTCTCAACTTAAAAATATTGTCGGCCGAGCGCGGTGGCTCACGCCTGTAATCCCAGCACTTTGGGAGGCTGAGGCGGGCGGACTGCCTGAGCTCAGGAGTTCGTGACCAGCCTAGGCAACACAGTGAAACCCCATCTCTACTAAAATACAAAAAATTAGCTAGGCATGGTGGCAGGCACCTATAGTCCCAGCTACTTGGGAGGCTGAGGCAGGAGAATCGCTTAAACCTGGGAGGTGGAGGTTGCAGTGCGCCAGATCGCGCCACTGCACACCAGCCTGGGCAATAGCGAGACTCCATCTCAAAAAAAAAAAAAAATTGTCTATGACATCTCCCCAAAATATAAAAAAGAAAATAAAATAACTTTTTTTTTTTTTTAAAGACAACAAATTCATACCTTTTTCTAGTGTATAAAGAAGCACTGGGAATAGCAGAAATTTCTACAGTTTGGGTTTTTGCCTAATAAGCACAGTAATAATATGCACAGGTAATTGATTTGTGACCGAGACCAGCTGATCTGCCTACAGAAGTGGAGTATTTTATTGTATACACAGACAAAATAAAGGCTGGCTCCTGCTGTACTTTTTGATTTGAAAATTTCTCACTACACTGAAGGCCTTAAAAGAGAACTCATTGCAAACAGCCTGTTGAGACACTTGGCTTGCCTGCCAAAATTGCACTTGAAGCTAATTAATAGTGCAAAAACACAGGAGCGATCTGTGCAGCTGCTGGGTCTGCAGACAAAGAACATTCCTGAGCGAACCCTCAAACTGCGAGTGTCCTGGAGTGCGGGTCCAGATTCTTTCTCCTTTAAGAAGGGACTGAAGTAATTACATGGCATCGTGTGCATTCCACATCACGGGGATGGAAAGAATGGAGAACGTGAAGTCTGGCCAAACCTTAGAAACAGTTGTTCCTCTGTGGCCTGGGGTGACAAGCCATCTAGCCATTATGCAGGATGCTGTCAGCTCCGGGGCAGCCAGTGGCCTCGTGCAGGAACCCTCGTGGGCTCTGAGTCAGAGGCCGGGTGCAAATCAGAGTTCCCAAGTCCCTGCTACATGAGTAAAGAAACCCAGGAACTGGCCTTCCTTCCAGCAAGTTCTACCTCCACAGAAACTACCTGATTAAAAGTGCTTTGGGCCAAGCGCGGTGGCTCACGCCTGTAATCCCAACACTTTGGGAGGCCGAGGAGGGTGGATCATGAGGTCAAGAGATCGACACCATCCTGGCCAACATGGTGAAACCCTGTCTCTACTAAAATACAAAAATTAGCTGGGCATGGTGGCACATGCCTGTAGTTCCAGCTACTCGGGAGGCTGAGGTAGGAAAATTGCCTGAACCAGGGAGGCGGAGGTTGCAGTGAGCTGAGATCACACCACTACACTCCAGCCTGGCGCCTGGCAAGAGCAAGACTCTGTCTCAAGGAAAAAAAGTGCTTTTGGTTTTGGGGGAAACAAGCTTTTATAAACTTCAAAGAAATAGAGCAGGGAGTGCTTGAAGGAGAACAATCCAGGCCAGCCCTGGGGCACGCCTGCAAACCAGGCCTGAGAGAAGTGTTTCTGGGAAAAGCTTTGGCTCAGAGCCCCGGTGGATGCCTGGCCAGACCCACCCCTGGACTCCGGGGTCCTGAGCAGGTGTGGGACCCACCAAGGGCATCGGAGCCAGGAAGGGGAGCATCTCTAGGTGACTCAGGCAGGCAGCAGGAGGCACAGCCTGAACAAAGAAACGCAACTGAGCAGGGCC